TTGCTATGTATATGTAGTACAACTGGTTAATAAATGTCTATAAACAAAATTTGCAAATAAATGTATAGGGCAATACAGAAGACTCGTGTATGTCTTAAGCCCAATCCGTCTCTCATTATTCCAAAACATTGTTTGCTACAATATGATTTTCTACCACATATTCACCCAATAAAATATTTCACATAAAAACCAATAAAGTTACTTTTCAAACACACATTCTCCCAAAAATACTATTCATTACTTAATTTCTTCAATAATGAGAGACAAATACACACCTAATAACAAACCTAACCGAATTCAATGGAATATGTTTATATATCGTGCGCGTTAGCTTCTTTAAATTTGGAGCAATGTAACTTCTACTTCACTACTCATTATAACTTTACATCACATTGTTTCTTCTTCAAATTTTCTTCTTTCTCATTTTCCAATCCATGTTCAAAACTTACGATTTCTTCTTATTTTCTTGCGACTTTTACCAATGTAGCTCGACTCTGGGAATTTCACCCTATTAGAAAAAGCAAATAAAAACTCAATAACATGACTAATTCAAAACTGTAAAAATAATACTCCCTCCGTCCCAAAAGGATAGTCTTGTATACTATTTTTGTCCGTCCCAAAAGGATAGTCTTGTTTCCATTTCAAGCATGTATTAAAATTTTCATTTCCACATATACCCTTATTTAATACATCTTGGTATAATAGACACCAACTACCTAGATATTGCATTTTCAAATTTTTTTTGGGAAACAAAGTGAGTCCATGCGTTAGTTCAACTGTGTGGGGATTCAAATAGGTATTAAACCTTTCACCTCCCTCTCAAGATCCATAAAGTGGCGTGAGGTGTTAAAATGAAGATATCACCTTGCTAGAACGGAACCACTTCGGAGCAATACCAGATAAATAGCGATAAACTTATCGATCATCAGACCCGGGTCGAGCATCCGAAAAAATGGGCAGCCCGTTACAAGACTTAAACTTTCCACCGGATGATGAAGACGATGATTCTGCAATAATTGCAATAGATGATCGAGCAACCTTTCAAGGAAAGAAATAATCTGGCAAACGATTACTCGACTT